CGGAGGCGGCCATGTTTTATGTCCGCGGGGGCGGCCATGTTTTATGTCCGCGGAGGCGGCCATGTTTTATGTCCGCGGGGGCGGCCATGTTTTATTTCCATGGGGGCGGCCATGTTTTATGTCCGCGGGGCGGCCATGATTTATGTCCGCGGGGCGGCCATGTTTTATGTCTGTGGGGGTGGCCATGTTAAGTCCGTGTTGTTTCCGTGTGCAGGTACGTGCCGGAGCCGCTCCGGGATGAGCTGGATAATCTCGGCGAGGCGCAGAGGAACGAGTTGAACAAGGTTAACGTGGAGCTGCTGCACCAGCTGAAGAGCACCGACTCTGCATTCACCCTCGGTATGTCCTCTCCTCCTCCTCCTCCTCCTCCTCCTCCTCCTCCAACCCCTGAGGGTCACCGGTGGTGGCGGTTATGTGTTCATGCGCTGATCAAGGAATCGATGATCTGCATCCGAGCGACTAAAAAAATTTTAAAAATTAAAATTGAGATTTTTTCAATTTTTTTCAATTTTACTAGCGAGACAACCGTGATCTCTTAGCTTGGATATCGTTGCTAAGTCGGTCAGGCACGTTTTTTACTGAACACGCTCAGTATCGATCAGTAGTCGATTCTTGGGAATTTCGTCACTAAGCAGTGTTTTTATAATGCTCTCGTAGCATAGCCGATTGGCTAAAGCTACCGGCCAATCACACGAGACGTATAAATCGAGTGTACCACCGACCCTGTGGCAAATTTGCAATCGTCAAATCGTCGCCTTTCCTCTCGTTCTTATGTTAGTAGTGTACACATGTGTAGGAAAGAATATAGCTAAACAAGGTTGCTGTATACGGTTACTAGTAACAATTTACTGTTACTGAAATTACGGTTACTATTTTCTACAACCTCCCGCACTGTTAGCTGAGACGATATTTGTTGACGTAATTGTTCGGGGATGATTTTTTTTTAACGTAGGAGAGACGACGGATGGACTGGCGTGCATACGCTTCGGGATGGTGACGGAGGACACTGACACAGAGGACCTGATCAGTGTCGTCTTTGACGCGGGACGTGAGGTGGAGGAGTCATCCAAGGTAAGGGTCACACGCGGACTGTCGTGTACGCGCGCGTCCGAATATAAATTTACCTCTGTAATGTGTAGTAATACAGTAA